GCTGAACAACTGGTATCAGTAGATTGCTCTTATTTAATGATAGCAAGTTGCTTGTTTTGTCATTTTTCAAGAGCAGTCACAATAAGATAATGCTTTTTTCCCTAAGAGTTAAAACTGCTTTCAAACTGGACTTTTGTAAGTTAACATTTTTTGTTTTGAATGTTGGTCTTTTCGAAGTGGTTTATTGAGTTAGATTTTGTTGGAGAAACTGTGATGTGAAACTAAAGTATAAGAATCGACTGAAGTATACTGAACTATAAAGAATCGACTGCTCCTGATCATTTTAGGATCTTGTGGCATTTTAAACAAGTGTAGAGTTGTTAGCCTAATTTTTTCATATGAACATCATAAGCAAATTGTAATTCTGTATGTGTTCTACTCACTCTTGTCTCAAACCATATTATGCTTTAAAATCTTTGATATATAATATATCACTGCCTTGAGCTGCTAAAAGCTGAAATAAATTAATCTTTACTGATGGATTTAAGACTTTATATTCTTCAGAATAAAGGTGGTCACACATCGTAATTCTGTGGTTACATTAAAGCAGGGATTATGCTAATGCCAGTGCCACTGACCTTTTCCTACTGTTAATACGGGAATTTAAGGATTAATTTCCTTGAGTTAAGAGATCATAGACAAGATTTTGATACACAGTTATCAATATGCTGCTTTTCTCTGCAGGTGGTGTTCCGAGGAGGAGAAGGGGCTTTGCAGGTCCTGCCTCCTCTGGTTGATGTTATTCCTGAGGCAAGACTGAATCTTGTTATATACTATCTCCGGCAAGGTAAATACATCTTCCTCTGACTCTTTCATAGCTTCAGGGATGACATTCATTCATCTGATCTCAACTGACTATTCAATTAATTTTTTTTTCTTTGCAGTCAAATGTAATTTATTTCATTTTCTGTTCCTCTGGAAAATAGTGAATGCAAGAGTTCCAATGGCTTGCAGATAAGGGCTTTAATTGTGTGCAGTCAAATAAACCTACTTTGTAGCAGAGCATTGGAAGTTCTTGGGTTGCTGGAGATGGCTTTGGGGATGGTGGTGTTTATATGTTTGTAGTGAGAGGACCTCTCCTCTGCCTGAGATATGTAGGAATGGTAGGCATATGTCCTGTGAAGGCAAGGACAACTATTTCTGTAGATAGGGAACAAACTTAATGAGCCAAAGTGACTATAAACAAGGCTACAGTTTGTGAACAAGACATTTCATTCCAAATCTACTTTACAACACTGAAAGAATGCAGGTAGGTAGCCAGAATCAGTTGGAAAGGATTTTCTACTTGTTTCTCTCCTTATTTGGCCAACTCCTTTGAATTTTATCTGAGTGTAGTTTCAGAGCTATTCCTGTTCTCCCATTGTGTTTCTTTATTCAACAGTGAGTTGACTGGCTGAGTGATGAATAGGTGTTAACTGCAGTCATCTAATATAAGGTGATGTGATGATTGCTTTTCCACCCACTTCTTTCTTATAAGCCTTGTATTTTGTCACCTAAATACGTTTAGGTGACCAGAGCATCTGAAAGCAGAAAAATGTCTTTTTTTTACTTTTTAAATAAATAAAGTCCATGCCTGCGATTTTTTTTTCCAAAATGTTGAAAAATTACCATGAGAAATGGGGAGAGATTCTGCTAGCAGAAGTCAGTCACACCAACTTTATATTCTTTGCATAGCAATAAATTCATCAGAGAATTTGAACGTACGTAAACATAGTATATTGAAAAAGCTCTATGAGCTTTTTACAGTGTGATTGACTTGGAGTTTCAGATACCGATTCTGAGTAACATCATTATAATTTGTAATCAACAAGGTTGGTGAGATTTAATCTTTGTAGTTGTGTCACCAAAATCGGGGATAAGCCTCGTAACACCAATATAGTGTTAAA